TTGCAGCAGCTGAGTGGCAGTTGTCGTGGCTTGCAGCAGCAGCGGCGCCAACAAAGCATCAGTAGAGGGAGAGTAAAATAAGGAGAAACAACAGCCAATGGCTTAAACCTGGCGCTGTTCTTTTACCTAGGAAAACCCTGATCTAGGGTAGGTTAGGGTGGGGACCATAAAAGGGTCGAAAGTAAACCGCAAACCCCGGCCTGAGGGGGCCAGCGCACAGTGAAACCCAACTTAGCTTCTTTGTCTTCCATCCCCGAGCTCCCCCTTTGTACCCATCATACAACCCCCGCCCCCACCGCTCCTTCGCAGCCAGGCCCCCCGGGCCGCGAACCCCGGGCCCCTAGGTCCTTTTCTACGGGACCCACCCGAAAGCAACCCTTACAACAATGGCACGGGTTGGAGACATATCACGCCGTTCTGCAACAGAGACTCCTTCTGTACACGTTCTCGCTTCATCATTTGCGATGGGCTTCCATGCGCCTCCCCATGCTTCTTCCAGCCTCCTCAATTGTATCTGAAATCTTGACATCCATTTCATCATCAAGTCAGAAGATCCTCGTCTGAGATTCACGAACTGTTGAAACCGGCACGGGGAGAAATTCACGCTCTATTCACATAGAAAGGTCTCCGAATCCACTTGAAAGACGCAACACCATCCTCAGCGCTTTTGAGGAGATCCCGATCAAGGGTCTTTTCGTAAAGTGCTATGTCTCCTTCAACCCTGCTTCTGAAAGCACGTCTTCTGTTCTCATGGTCCAATTCTGCACTCACACCAATCATCAGTTGCGTCTTCAAACGCAAGCCACGAGGTCTTCCCATCGAATGAAGTTGCTTGCGTGGTGTACGCCTCCTCATAGAAGACCTCGTCACGCATGTCTGTGAAAAAATCATCTGCCCTGGCTTCTACGGGAGCTCTCCTTTCGAGCTCACTGGCGCGTCCAGGGTACTCTTCTTAAGGCGGTACCTCTGCGAAGATAGAGCCCCCCCCCTGGAGAGAGGTCCGCTGCCACGTTGAAAGTGGACCGGGCATACCAAACCTCAAGGAGTACAGTTAGGTCGGCAGCAAGGTGTCTTTTGTTTCTATGCGCAAGACTCGAGCACTAAAGAAGGCGGCATGCACCAGAACAATTTGTGGCAACATGTCGGTACATATAACTGGCAGCATCTAGACAGGACTGTTCTTAGCGCACCCCACTCCCCGAAGCCTCCCCCGCCGCTTGCCCCACTTAAGCGTGCATGTAACTTGCCCTCTCAAGCAACCAAGCAAGCAAACAAATGCTTGCATGTTCACTCATGCGTTCACTGACTGGCTCCCTCCCCATGCTCCTGCCCATCCTCCCTGGCTGCTTTCCTCCTATTCACCATTGGCATCACCATCGTCATCAGCATCATCAAGGCCTTGGTTGTTGCAGCAGGTATGCTGGTGCACCACTTCGAGTGCTCTACCTGCCAAGTGGTGCACTCCAGACTGCGACTACCTGGTGGAGTGCGTGGCGCCTCTTCGAACGCAGGTGAATCCTTAACTGCGCGCAGCGATATCTGGACTCCGACTAGGCAAGATTATGCATCAAATGCTGCCTCTCCGCTCCGAAGAAAAAAAAACGAGACGCCGGAGGAGGAAAGGGCGGTGTGAAGGAGGCGCACTCCCCAGCAAAGGGTGCACCAGGCGACGTAGCCTCTTCGAAGTCAGCTGCTTCCTTGGCTGCGCGCAGCAATATCTGCACTATGACTAGGCAATACTATGCCTCAAGCAACGCCTCGCCGCTCCGAGACAAAATAATGAAAGGACGAGATGCCACAGGAGGAAGAGGGGGTTGTGGCGGGGCGCGCTCCACAATAAAGGGTGCGCCAGGACGAGGATCACGCATGATGGCTCGAATCAGCGCAGGCGGCGTGCGAGGCTGGACCACGCCCGCCAAGCGGAAATCTGGCTCCTGCCACTCCCCAATAGGATGCGTAAACCACACTATACCACACTGCAAGGTTTTGGTGCTGGTGCTGGTGCTGGTGGTGGTGGTGGTGGTGGTGGTGGTGGTGGTGGTGGTTGTAGTGGTGGTGGTGGTGGTGGTGGTGGTGGTGGTGGTGGCGGCGGCGGCGGCGG